AACCATCTCTTTTTTGGCATTGGACAGGACTTAATGTGCTGGTGACTTGCAATATTCCTATAACTCCTCAAGTAGTTCATTTTATACTTAATTTATGAAATTCCACCTATTTCAAATCAAGTACTATGGTCTTAGGATTAACCACCTCTGAACAGCAACCATTTTTTTGTGTGAAGAATCTAAAATAACGCTTGTTGCTGCTGCTTGCTGATCCTTTGTGCCTCCTGTGTTTTCAGGTTGAGGAGATTTTAGGTGAGGAGCCAATGGTGAAGGAGAGGCTTTTTGACCTGTTGAAGCAATACGCTTCAGAGAGGGATGTGGAGCAGCTGGCGTCCACACTCCCTGAGATACTGATCAATGAGGAACATCAACAGCTGATTGACAGCATCAGGTACCATTGAGATTTTGGATGGAAACTTTGTCAGCAAACTGGACATCTGACACTTTATGTTCGTTCAGATAAATGAGGCTTCTTCAGATAAATGAGGCTATCTTTGACTAATTAGGCTTTGCTGTCTTTTTGTGCTGAGTCACACAATCTGGTGTAAATGAAAACATGTAAGAAAGGGAGATAAGTGATCGCTGAAGGGGTTAAATAGTGCATCTTTCCTCTTTCCCTTTTTCTAGCTCTGATTAAATTTCTCTCTCTCTCTCTCTCTCTCTCTCTCTCTCTCTCAATTTCCTTTCCCAAGTATAAAACTGAGGGAATAGAGAAGGCAAACATCTCACCTGTCTCCAACTACACAGTAATAAAAGACAAATATCCTTACAAATCCACAATGGGAACCCAAAAATGCCATTTTTTTTAAATGAACAAAGCAATTGCCTGATATGTGGTGACAGAAGCTGCTGACAGCTTTGTTGTAATCAGGCCAGTGTCTATAAATATTGTAGGGAATTAGGTACCATGCCAAGTCCAATGGCACCAGCTGCAGAAAGATTTGATGAAATGGAAGCTTGATACCCTCACATCTCTTGCATTAAGGGACTCCTGCTATTCAGATTTGCAGTCTGGCAAAAGGGCATATCAGAAACGTTTTTTTTTTTTTTTTTGGCACTGATATCTAATGTCTTGTCTAATCTAGTATTCACTGTTGGAATTAGGATGAATGTAGCCAAACATAAATGTCCCACAGTTAAGTGAGGAATACAACACTATAGTTTGTTTGGTTATAGGAAAATAATGGATGCCTGGGTGGGGAGTTACTGTTACCACCCCTGAATATTTCCAATAACAACATGTCCTGGAGTGTTTTATTTCCCTTATACCACAGCAATTTTCTAACATTACAAATGTGCTGACACTGGAGACTCATTTAAAATCTTAAATGAACTCCGCCTTAGAACTTAGAACTCCGCCTTAGTAAGATTAGAACGAGTGAATTAATATAAACCTCTGATATGAATTACAGTTGGAACTACTATCAGAGCTGCTGTTATAGAAAACTAATCACATTCTGACCAATCAGATTCTAGAACAGCACTGTGATATGTTTTTGTAATCAGTGATGGTATAAAGTGCTCATACAATACACACTAAGAAAACAATTGTGCTCCTGATCTATTATATTGTGATGTTTTTCTATTCTGGGCAGTCCAATTTCTTGGAGTCCTCATGGAATAATGGGACTTTGTTCTCTCCACAATTGGAGAGAGATGGCTTTAATCAAAGTAATAGAACAGTTATGCTCACTTGGTGTCTGTTAAATGGGATTTTGCTAACTAAATTATTGTAGGCTAAAGTGGTTGTATCTGACAACAGCCTGCTAATTGGAAGGAAATCAATTTGCAGGGACAAAAGCTTCCCTTTTTCATTTTCATTGTTTCTTGTGTTAGTGGAGTAACAGTATCCCTTATGGGAAAAAAGACTCGATAACAGAAACATGCTGACAGTAGGAAACAAAAGAGAGGTGTATTTTTCTTTTCAAGCCTTTGGTTTCCATTTGCATAATTTTGTAAAGAATGTAAAAGCCCTCAAGAATTATATATATTATTATTTTCAGAACTAAACCCAGAAGTCCAATCCAAGCTCTTTTATATAGTGACTTGTTTCCTTTGATTTCCCCTTCATTAAACTGCATCTCTCCATCTCTATTGTCTCAGTATGTCTTAATTTTAAATCTTACTAATCTTTAAATGTCCACCTCTTATTGGTTTTGCCTCTCCCTTTCCATTTTCTCTCTCATATTCTACAGAAATGCATAGTTTATCACATCATAAAAATCACACATTCCCCTCCCCTCCTCTTTATCCAGCTCTAAGCTCATATTGGCATTTTTTCTTCTCCCAAATGTTGCTACTGGCAGCCTTTGGAAGTGTGATATTCCAGCCAATTTGCTCGCTGGCTCTGTGTAGCCCTACTGTAAGGTGGATGGGGTGATGGAGTAACTCGAGGCTATATTTGATGCTTTGTGCACTGAAGCAGCAGCTGTGAAGTTCCCATGTGTGGTGAGGGGCTACGGTAGAGTGATGAATTGCTGTAGGTGAGTGATGCTGAACATTCCTGGTGTGTTTGTCTCTCTGTGCTCTGCTGTTGCAAGGTGTGATTTATGGAAAGTGGTGCCTCATTGTGGTGTCTTTGTTTTGTGACTTGAGTCATGACATATTAATTGTGAGTCTTCTTAAAATGAGTATTCTTGATATTGTTCTGTCTCACTCTTATGGAAAATCTTTGAAATATACCATCTGTAGATTAAGGAGTGGCATTTATGTGATCATTATTAAGCTAAATTCTGTTCTGTTTTATGATACCTGGACTTAAATAAATAATAGCTCAAAGAAATGTACACCCATGCACAGTCAGAATCCTAATCGGACTCATTTAAAGCTTTGACAGCTTCTTTGAATAGTCAGGAAATACTGTAAAGCACATTATGGACAGTCCTGAAGCTGGAAGTCTCTCTCTTTTTTCCTGAAGCAACTGATTTCATGGTCATGTTTAAATATATTCTACATTTTCATCTATTCCAATTCAACCATGTAATATATACTGTAAATGCACAGGAGTGCAATTAATAAAAAAACAAAACAAACAGCTTTATGGGAATGCAAGGGTTTACTGCAGTGAAAGAAGTTGCACTGTAGTAATACAGTTTGAAAAAATATTGGGACATACAACAGTGCCTATTACTACCATTAAAAGGATTTCCATATTACATTCTGTATGGTTCAGCAAGTCAATAATTACCATGACTATGCTGTATCATGTATCTAAAGACAGAGAGAACAAAACTTCAGTGGAGGCTGTTCATGCCTTTGTGAATATAGCACGTAATACACAATCCTTCACTGTAGAACAAGGCTTTCTGATGGGTGATTTTAGTTACAGCAATGAATATGTACCTTTCACAAGCAGCCACGTCATTTCTTTATTTTTTTTATCTCTCACGGCTGTGTGGTGAACCACAGCGGGATGGAACTGACAGTTGCAGCTGTCGTCGTTGTTTTCCTTTGATTTAAACATGCTCAGGATTCTCCTTCCTCAAAGTGAAAATAAGATCAATCATAAACCAAAAGCTTTTTTAAAAGTTTCCTTTCTCTTTTGTAGACACTTTTCTTGAAAGATCCTCTTCATGAACTGTTTCTCTATAATCTTTATAGGTATAGCAGCAAAGATATGAGCTCAAATCTGGATTGAGTAACACCACCATTAATCCTTACTTAAATGGCCCTGACGAAGTGTGCTAATGGGGCAATGCGTGTGGGATAGCAGGCTTGAATGTACCCTATATTCTCTTTCCATCGCCTTCTCTCTCCCTCTCTCTATCTCTCTCTCTCTATCCCCTCTCTCCCTAGGTCGAATAGCTGCTGATTAGGTACACTGTCATGGGAATTTGAGGCATCCTAACACTGCAGGATTTGGCAGGCTTCACTGACAGAGTGGTGTGAGTGTTAGCCTGTGGCAATCAGAGATGAATCAGGCATATTTATTCTCATTAATAAATCATTATCCAGCATTAAGGTCTTAACTCTATATAGGGGACAATAATGACAATAAGGACAATATGACAATATAGTGTCAAAGAAATTGTTTGGAAACTTTTCAGAAGTGGATCATCCTATGAAGCTGTGTGGACTCTCCAACCTCCACAAGAAATAAACTAGGAAGTAGAGCACCATGTTCCAAATACCTAGATTCATGCTCCTCATCAAGTTTTTTTAACCTCTGAGAAATTTTCACTCCTGTTTTTCATCACTGGTCATGTGATCTGTTTTTGTGGCATAAATGTTCATTTCATTCCCTTGTATAGTATCCTGTAAACCAAAAACACAACAGCAAATTCAGAAAAACAACATTAACTTAAAATGGAAAGAGAGCATGCTTAGTGAACATCACATGCTTGATGCAAATTGGACATGGCACATGACTTGCAATTTTTCACTGTGTGTAACCTTTATTTGCCCAGGATAAAAAAGAAAACAGATAAAATCTCTTTTACAAGAGTGTCCTGGCCAAGAAGGCAGCAAAAAAATACAACAACAATTAAAGACACAAGAACCCAGAATTAGTGGGAAAAAAAACAAATTGAACAGAAATAGAAAATTACATAATAATATACAATCAAATATCGCAAAAACAACTTCCAACATGGCTATACTCAAAGTTATTTACAAGTGCCATAAATTCAACCAGTGAAGGGAGCACAGTAACTTTTAAGTGCTCCTGTAAGTTTTTTATGTTGTTGAGGCATTAAAATTAAAACCTTTTTCCCAGCTCAGATCTAATATGGGGAACAACAAGTTGAATAATGTCCTTTGAGTGAAGATTGTAATGTTCATTTTTTATAGAAATGATGGATAACAAATAAGTACGTAACTGTATTATCTTGTTGGCCTAGTGAAAATTATTTAATGCCAAGTCACGTATGTTATTATCGCGAGGAGTAACTCTTCTTTTGAATAACTCTTCCTTTAGGTAAGTTTTCAGCATTTGCATTATCATATTAATGCTGTGCAAAGTTGACAGCATATCTAAAATAACATCATATAAATGTCCTTGGGGCATGGTTGCTTAGTGGTTAGCACGTTTGCCTCGCACCTCCAGGGTTGGGGGATCGATTCCTGCCTCTGCCCTGTGTGCGTGGAGTTTTCATGTTCTCCCCATGCTTCAGGGGTTTCCTCCAGGCACTCCGGTTTCCTCCCCAGTCCAAAAACATGCATCGTAGGCTGATAGGCATCTCTAAAATTGTCCGTAGTGTGTGAATGGGTGTGTGAGTGTGTGATTGTGCCCTGCAATGGATTGGCACCCCGTCCAGGGTGTCCACTTTCTTGTGCCCCAAGTCCCCTGGGATAGGCTCCAGGCTCCCCGTGACCCTGTGTAGGATGAGCGGTACAGAAAATGGATGGATGGATGGATGGATAATTGTCCTTGATAAAAGTACGTACGAATAATAGCATGATTTATTTAGACTTATATATTTCCTTGCTGTAAATAAGGACCTACACTTTCAGTTGTGTATGTCGGAATTAGCTGTTGTGTTTTTGGTTTATTAATGTGTTTTACCCTTATGGGCCACCATACCATTTTCTTTATAGATACCTACATTTTTTATTATCATTCCATTACATTGCTTTTTTCAGTTATACCATGTTGTGCAGCTCTCTGTTAAATAAAATTATCGTGAGCTACTTGGCCACTGTCAGCTGAATTATTATGGGGAGCCAAATGTAAAAAGTTGATCTGAGGTCATTCTGATATATGAATCACTGTCTAAATGTCAAATAACAGTTTAAATTTCAGTGTAAACTTTAAATATAAATCTAAATATTAAATGAAAATATTAAAAATAAATGTAAATATTACATTTATGTTAAATGTATGCTAAATATACTGTAAATGTATAAGTGTGTGGGTGGCTTTTTTGAGGGGGAGTGGTGAGATTAATATATAAGATTTACATTTATACTTAACATTTATATCTATATTTAATATTAATATTTAATGTTTAACATTTACATTTATATTTGAAATTCACATTGAAACTTAAAACTGTTATTTCACATGCATCACTATCTAAATGTATCACAATGGCCTCAAATGTTAAAAAAAAGCATTCAAATTTGAATGGCACCCCATAAAGTATTATTGATAGAATTGATAGAAATAGAATATAATAACTGTGAAGGTGTTCTGTCAAGAAGTAGATTAAATACCCTGATTTTAAAAAATATTTGTTCTAAGATGCATAGAAAGGCTTCCAGCATTATGTTGGTGGAATTGATATTATAGTTTAATGACACAACAGCTTTCATTCACCCTTTATGGTCAGCGGTCAGAACTCCATCTGTCCACACTAGCTGTTTTCCCCTTAAAAATCTGACCAGCTGTGTGTTTTTCTGTCCCTGCAAATCTGTACAGCTCTCCCTCAGGGTGCCCACTATTTTTAAGCAGCCTACTTCCTTTAATAAATGCTTTTTGGTTCATGACGCACTACAAGTTTGCACAAAATCCACATGGCAGCCTATAGAAGCTGAAGTTTCTCTCAGAAGGTCTATATTCAGGATGGGGATTTTTACCTTCATTTTTCAAAAAGGGCTTTGTAGTGATTCAGAAGCGTGGATTGGGGTTTCGCTGTGTATTTAATATTAATTTGACTTTGAGGTTGTGCAAGCCATTGAACTGATACCCATTGTGCTGATTTCATGTTGCCTGGTGCTTGGATGACTTCTAGCAGGACATTTGATGTGCTGACATTTTCAATGATGGCTATCCATACTTTTGTCATCACGTTTTTTTTCCTTCTTTTGTCGGATATCCCACGTGCTGACCTGCCTGCGAAATTCCTTAGGGAGTTCCTCACACTCCTCTCGCTTTTCTCTCCCTCCTCGCCTGCTTCTCTCCTCCTTTCATTTCTCTCACTCCAACTTCTAGGCAGTCGCAAACACACCTCACTGCTTGGTCCTCGGTGGGTGGCAATTGATCCGAGATAGGGGGCGAAGACCTGCAGCAAGACCTGAATTCCCCATGGCACATACTTTGGAATGTCTGGATATCTGAGCCTAAATATGGGTGACAAGTTGACGTGACCTCTGATGTACTTTGAGGCTTCAATAGCTATATAGTTGATGGTTTTCAACATGATGCTGGTTGATACACCTGCACTGAGACAGACATGCTTGGACTTTAGAGATCTGCTATATCCGGCTCTTCTCAAGGTGTTTTCTCAGGGATTGATGATTTATGGGAACCTACACTATTAGTCACCTGGGTTGTTGCTGAGTGATGAGCTGAGAAGCATGGGGAGGGACAGAAGTTTCTCCAAGCACTTTCGGTAAGAGGAATCTGTTGGAATAAGCGTTCAGTGCCACTTTGATCTTTTTTTCGTCTGCAGTTGTTGAGAAATGCAGTTGTGATATATGTTAAAGTTCTTTGGGCATAGAGCGCATGCTTACAGTAAGCAAGGCAACTTATCATTATATGCCTGTCCTTATTTCTTTCCTATACACACTATACTTTTTCGACCACTGTCTCTTACTTTAACTGGATACATAGTGTTTTCTCTTCTGTGATTTGGTTTCCCTGTGCAGAAATCATAAGTGGAGTGACTATGGCAATGCTATGGTTACCTGCTAGCAGTTAAGGTTAGATAATAAGTTTTAGATGGGAATAAGTAAGCACTCTGTAGCCATTGTATGGTAGCCACGATTGAGGTTTTTCTATAATAACGTGCTCATCTCAGTTGTCATTCACTCCTTTGAGTAGTGTGTCCTTGATCTGCAAACCCCACTTCTTGGTTAATTTTAGTCTCCCTGTGACCTCCTTCTAATTGAGGGCATTCCAGTGTAAATGAAAGTTAAACAAGAATAATCTGGGCTCAGCTCAGCTCAAGAGCAACTTGAGAAGTTTTAAGTTTGAATGCAATATTGAGACATGATTTTTGATGTTTAATAGATATTTGAATTTGCCCTTAGTGGAGTTGCACCAGTGTTTGTTAATACGCAGTCTTAAATAGCATGCCTACATTTTTTCCACTTATACATTCACTTACAATATATCAAATGCACAAAAAGTAGCCATCACACCTGTTTTTACTGCCTCAGCTCCTGGAATGCATCACATGGCTTTTTGGCACAAGGTTTCCATTCCAGTACAAGCGCAGGTGTCGTGTTCTGGCCCAGATATGCTGCTCTAACTCTGCTCAGAATGAGGGCTCATAGCTCTTTGGAAAAAGGCCAAGCAAAGGGCTACTGGAATTCAGAGTGGAAAGAAGTGTGGAAATCTTTGTTAGATTGATGGGACTAAATGCTGAATACAGATATGTTAAAGCCAAGCACAGACAGAAACACATGCACCAAGCCCATTATTCCTACCCTGATGTTACCAATTCTTTCCTAATCAGCAATTTTGTTAGCAACGTAGGCTTTGTATAAGGTGTACTAAAACAATTCTAATTTAAAAACAAATTCAGATGATAGCATGGGACAGTAACTTTATTTGAGTTTTATTGGAATATAATAAATATAAACTTGCTGCTGTAGTAATTTAAAAAGTACTGATTTATTTAGACTGATTTGCAGTTTACTTAAAAAAAACATCAGTGTGCCAGATATGTATAGTTACATATACACTAGGTGGTTAATCATTTTTCTTCCTGTAGGTGGCAGTGAGTTTCATTGCTTTTCCGAGAATTTTGCCATTTGTCCTGGTAGTGCATGAAGAACAGGCCACCAGAACTGCAGCAATTCACAAACACAAAACCTAATTCCCATTTCCCTGAATTGATCACTCTGTTGCCATGGAGACGACCAGCTGGGCCATTTGCTATCTAACTTGTGCTCAGTGGATCTCAGCAGGACTCCGTGTTAAACTGTTTGACATCCTGCTGCACACATTGGCCTGCTGGGATGCACAGCCATTGGAAAGGTGTGAACATGCCTGATAATTAAAAACTGCCTTTCAGGTTACACAAGCTGAAGATATTTCCGACAAAAGTTTTATTTTAAGTTCTTAAAATGTATCCATCTGGCCCAGGACTTCAGAATAATTTTTTCATTTCAAGTCCAGTGTGTTTGACTTCAGAACCAAATCTGTGTTCCTGTTCACAAAGCTGTGTTGAATAATTAAGGAATAAACACTGTTATAGGAAAATGATCAATGACAGTTACTGTTACCACCACGGAGTTGATTATTTTCCAATAACATCATGTTCCAAAATATTCCTCTTATACCACATCAATTTGCCAACAATTGCAATTTGTTAATTTATTAATTAACTACACATCGTACCATTTATAATTTAATTTGATGGTGTGGAATGTCCATGAGACATTTCTGTTATCACTTACGTTATAAACCGATATAAACAGTCATTCCCTTACCAGGTCTTTCTTTTTTCTCTCACTCTTGAACAAAACAATGCTGATTGACGTTGCAGAGAAACCAAAATACGCAAAGTCCTCTGTCTGAAAACTTTCCTGCAGTGGAAAACTTACTGTTACAAAATGCTGACACTGGAGACTCCTTCCATAAATGTTTACAAACAACTTACAGAAAGAGTCACCATATCAATGATTATACATTTTTCTTTGTTCAATAACGGCATGTTTTTTTAAAATTAATTTATTATTAGGCTTAGATTATATGCATCGTTCACCATACAATTCCCTGTAAATGAGTTGTTACAAACAATAATGATGGAACAAGTGCATTACTATAATCCTGTGATTTGCCTTGCGTCAGAACTACTGTCAGATCTGCTGTTATAAAAAACGGTGGTGTTTATGACAAGTAATTTTATTTGGATTCACAGTTTGCATCATGTAAACTGGCCATCAGTGTGTATACTCATTAGTTACATATTAGTGTAATAGTCTTTATACAAAACGTCATGACAAAAATGTGTACGGTTGATGGTAAGGTTACATACACCTAGGCTAAAGATATTCAAACTCAATTTTTCACAACTCCACACACTTCATATTACCATACATTTCCTGCATTGAGTCAATTAGGTTCAATTCGATACTTTATTTCCATAAGAATTTCAAAAGAATAGTTTTATTTCAGTTTTATTTTATTTAATTTCGTTTACTATATCAGATTTTCAGTGGTTCAAAGCTTACATACACTTTTA